AGTGTAGCAGACCCAATGGTCTGATCCAGGAATCACTGGTTTGGTTCCAGAAGGGAAAATATAACCAATTTTCTCCCAACCGCAGTTGACCGTCTGGTTATTTCTGTGCTGCAGTATTTTTCCTGGTGAGAATTTTTCCCCTCAATTCCCTTAGCCTCAATTGGCTAAGTATGAGCTAGGGTAGCGCTAAAATACAAAAATAGATGGGTTTAAAGAGCACCGTGGTTCATTTCAATTGTCACACAGCTGAATCTTGCAAAAGTAGATGGGGGAAAATAATTCAGGCTCCATATGTGTTATATTGGGTTAAAGCATGGAGATTTTGGTTATAACTGTGCTCTTCCTAACCACATAGGCAAGACAAACGTATAGTGTAACTGGATCCAAATATAGTATAACAACCACTTAGGTTAGATTTCAAGACCTTTATATAAAGCTTAGTATTCCAAAATAGTTTCACATTACACTGGTTCTTTGTGCTCTTGCTAGACTATGGCTTAATAATTATGCTTTCCTATTTCCCAAATGCTTTTCTTTCTCCTGTTAGTGTATGTTCTCATGTAGACGTTAGAAACTGTGGTGTGGAGGACTGCAGTATAGAAGCTGACTTGCAAAAATTGTAGCAAAATAAGTCTAGTTGCCTTGCATGTGGGTTTTTCTTCTCCTGTGTCTTTGTTACTCAACCATGAAACAATTTACTAAAAGAGCGATTAGACCTTGAGACAAAATTACCTCTTAAAAGTAGAGATGGTCTCCATTCACAACAGGGCATACAGAGCCCCAGAAAAGTGTTTCAGTATATGAGGTGAGACAAACTCGGTGTTTTTAAGAACTGTTCTGATGTTGCATTGAGATTCTGACTTAGATTTTGAAACCACCTGCTATTGTGTTGTTAGGTTGGGTCTCTCTGAATTCAGTCTTCAGCATCTGCTCTGTTTCTACTATTGTGGGGATATCAAAACATGCATTCCCCCCAGCAGCTGTGAAAGTACAGGTAGTAATTCTGTTTTAAAGTCTTATTTCAGCTTGGCCATTTGGCAGAACAGATAATTCCGACTAAATTCAGTTATTCTAACCTGTTGTTTTCAGCGTATTTAGTTACTAACTCTTAAGGCTCTTTGCAAAGTTCTTGATCTTTTGCCTGACAACCCTTGATGTTCCCCCCTCAGCTGCAGTGTATAGCTTCTTTTTTGGGTTTTTTACTCTTCCTTTCCTCCAGAGAAGCAGACTCACTCCTCTTGGCAACTATGGCTTTGTCCTCCACAATGGCTCGAACAGGTTTTCCTCCATTTGCCATCCCTTGTGTGGCTCTAAGTGTTGTTGCACTACTCGAGAGGAAGAGGAAGGCACCAGACTCTGGTGTTTTGCTGTGACAGGTACCCTGGCTGGATAGCAAGCTTTGGGAGTAGCTTGAGTGTCTCTGCATTGCAGTGCAGGCACTTCTGTTTGAGTTGTCACTAAACAAGAATAAGTGCTGGCGTGTAAAATGCTCACTTCTCTCCATACAAAGAAAGAGATGCAGAAGAAGGATGCTAAGCAGTCGCTGTCATTGCTTTGATATTCTTGAGGTTCCAATGTAAGCCATCATCTTTCTTGCTCCTTCAAAGTGTGTCATCATCATTAATTATATAGTTGCATATTCTTTTTTTCCTCTCTTCTTATCTTTCTCCTCAAGTCTCTTTCTGCCTTACTTGTGGCACAGCAAAACAGTGTGGCCCATAGATTCCTCTCTCATTTCAAAAGCATGACTGAGAAAACATTAATTTGTGGAAAAGCAATGCGGCTGTGGGTATTAACCTGAGACTTGATGTGGTTTCATCAGAAGGGTACTATATAAGTCACTGAAGTCATAACTGTAATTATTTTCAAATAAGGCTTCTATGTTACTTGATTTTCAACTTAAAAGTGTTACAAGACTGATGCTTATCTGTCCATTGCAACAAGAGCCCAAATTACGAGTCAGTGTTTCTGGCAAGTGCTGTGCTGAATCCCTTTTCTCTGGTTCCCCCTCTGCTAAGAGGGTCTGACCAAGCCATGGGGCTCAGGGGGATGTGATGTTTTCTGTACTGGTGCTGTGTGGCATTGCTGGCTTCTCCATGGAGCACAACCTTCACAGGGCATCAGTGGTACCCAGAGACCCTTCCCTGTTCATCCCATGGCAGGGGAGCACCCGAGGGTGGGAGCAGAGCAGGAGGCACCTCTGGGACCCAAGGAACAGGCAGAACCCACTGCTGAGTCTTTAGAAAAAGACTTTTTGGCCTTATTTGTAGTGGTATCACTGAGCTGGTACAGCATGTTTGGCCTTCTAAAGGAAAAGGGGTATGAAGCAAAAAGGAACAACATTAACTTGTCTGTGTGTGTGGTTTTTTGTGTTCTTTGTCTTTTTTTAAGCTGGAAAGAGGTGACTTCCTCTCAGAAGAATGGAGAGAGAGAATTGCAAACACAAGGTACAGTACAGCAATTGAATGCCGCTTTATGAACTGGATATTTGGAAGTTTGTATAATGGAAATTGGGAGCCTGGCCAGCTTTTTATATAGAATTTCCATAGCAAATACCAAAAGTCTATCTGCCAACTTTTATACTGGCCTCTTTAGATCCTGTGTTCTGACTAGAAGAATGGGTTTAAATGTGTGTCCCATGATATTACATACAAGGGTGTATCCAAGATAAATTCTGGTTATACAGAGAAGTATAAACCTGTGTTTGTTCTGCATATCCTCGTAGTTGGTGTCAGTGATTCTGGCAAAATGTGAGTTATCTTGGCCATTGGTGCATACAGCTAGGCTCACTTTCCATTTAAAAAAAAGGCTAAAGACCCAAGTGATTCTGTTCCAACTTAAATGAGGAATTAATTTAAGCTGATTTTCTTGAAGATTTACTCTTGTGAAAATCCATACAGAGGGTTAGACTCCTTTTTGATGGTAGCAAAGAATGGAGTAAGTTTGTTAAAAGCAATAAAATATTCTCCTGTATTTTTAAAGGCTTTGCATTCTTTCAGCGTTATGGACAGAAATAAGTCTTTGTTGTTATGTGACCTTCTGGGCCACCCTATAATGTGGGGGAATTGAGGGTCGTCAAAGAGGGCTCTCTGAAAGCCTTCAGCATTCTGGCAACTCATGGATTGCTTCTAGGACACAGTTTTAAGAGTTACCCCATCAAGAAGACATTTGCCAGGCTGATGACTTTTGTGTCATTATGTACCTCACTTAAACTTCTGGAGGTGCCTTTCAGTTTGTGGACAGCCTTGTCCCAGCCTTGCAGCATGGTTTGGCATTGTTGCTTGCTATTCCAAATGCAACTCCTCTGCTGTCTGTGCAGCCTTCCTTGGGACAAATTTACGGGATTTTTAAATTTTTAGCTGAAGTACAGCTAACTGCATGCAGAAATACTGGTAGAAGTTTTGTATGCCCGCTGATCCACAGCCACCTTGCTCTCTGATACAGAAATTCCAAAAGCTGCAGCTTTTTACTCACAACTGCGAAGTGTTTGTTTGTTCCCAGTGTGCCAACTGTTCAGCGTCTGCTCTAATGAGACCGCAGATTGTCTGATAGATTCACTTTGGAGCCATCCCATTTAGAGACTCAGCTGAAGCCTCACCCTTCCCATGAGCCGGGCTCCTGTACTGGGACAGCAGCGTATTCCTGTGCGTGACCGTGCTCTGGCTTGGCAGCACGTACTGAGACGAGGGCTGGAGTCAAGGGGGACGGGGGCTCCTCCGCTCCTCTTGTGCATACAGAATATCGTGCCAGAATGAACACTAAAAAATATATATATCTGGCAAGCTCTGGGTTTTTCCCTTCCTTTCCTGGATGTTTTCTCGTCCCATTAATTCGCTTGGCTGTTTTGCAAGGCCTCATTTTTGGCACATGGTGGGAAGCAGGAAGAAGAACCCCCTGCTAGCCTCACTTGCCAGGCAGGGTTTCCCAAATTTCCAAGAGCAAGGCATAGCAAGAATAATTTTTACCCCCCTTTGGTGTATAAACACTTTTTTCATCCGTGGTTTTTATTAACTTTTTCTGCTGCTCTTAAAGTCCGTGTCTTTGTTGAACACGCTTCATGTGTGGAGGCACCAAGAGGGGAGTTTTCAAACAGACCCCTTGCAAAGAAACCGGTTCTTCACGTTGAAGCAGGATGCCACAGTGGCTGTCACCCTTGGTGTGTGCGGGGTGCTCAGTGACATATTCTGATTCTTTCCCAAACACTTCTGTAATTTCTGTGATTCTACCTATGTGCAGGTTTCTTTGTTCTCATATGACTGCTTTTTTCAGGAATAAAACCCCGTCATTGGATTTCCTAACCCAGAAAGAAAGATGCAAACCCTCTGCTGTGGGTTAAGGAGAAGTGCTGGGTTTAGAACAGGGAAAATGTGCTGAGAGATATCAGCTGCCTCTCTGCATTATGGGAGGAATTTAGAGCTAGAAGAGAAAATAGATTTTGCTGTAATATTTTAAATACATGTGAAGAAGTAATGGGATTAAATGTGTCATGTTAAAGTATTGTTTTTCGTGTGTGGGTTAACTACTGTGAGTGTGTTGGTAGTTGCTGTGTTGGTGTTTGATCTCACCATGACAGAAAGGTGAAAACATTTTGCACATTGTTTTTGTGCTAAAACTTATGGTGCAAAACTCGGCTGTATGCTGAGGGGAACTGTCAGAGCAGGACATCTTTAATGCTTTTTAAATGGAATTATGTGGGCAGTGCCTGTGAATGCTAAAGGTAAAGTACTTTTTTGTGTCCCTATGCAAGAAGAAAGCATTTTGTTAGATGGAAGTAGCTGTATAGGCTGGTACAAGCAGCATTTTGCAGTTTCATGTGTGACTGTAAAGGGTACAAGTGCTGTGGGTTGTGTTGAGGGGGTAGCTATGTGTATAGATGTATTTGGGTGCCATTTGCCTGTCCCTCTTCATTAACTACACCATTACCTTGCAGTGTTATTTTTGTGAATAACTTTGCCTTTGGTCCTGAGGTGGATCACCAACTGAAGGAGCGATTTGCAAACATGAAGGAAGGTAACAAATCAAACTTTAAGCCTTTTTCCTTTGGTTTTCTGCTTACTGTGGGCGCTGCTGGTGGTAAGGGCTTAGTAGCAGCCTTCAGTAGCCAGGTTTGGGGGCTTTCCTTCTGTGCCTTGTGGGCAAGCATCTGCACTGCAATGGTCCAGTTCATGTATCTGCTCTGAATTCAGTTACTGGATTCTTCTATTTAAAGTTGTCACATTTAATACTGGGTATTCACTAATAAGTATTAAAATGGGGACACTGTCACTGGATGCCTCATGTGCTTCTCAAGAAGTCTCATTGCAGACACTGGGGTGTCCAGTAACCCTGCTGTGGCCCTTACATTACCAGTGATGTCTTCTTCTTTCCTCTTAACCTCTTGGATAAGTGACGGTTTTATTTGGTTGTGGTAGGAATTACAAAAATAAGTGTTTCTGAAAAGTAAAATGTGTGCAATGAACAAAGAAGCCGTGGCTTCCCATTGTACAGCTTTGTGCTGTAAATAATGTGGCTTTTGGGCTCTGGTGCAGACTGTAAAACCCCAAAACTGAAGCTGTCATCTTTAATTTTAGTGGTTGTTTTTTTTTTCTTTTAAAGTTGTGTTTAGTGGTGGTGCAAGAGAAGTGGGAGGGTGGGTAAAGGCTCAAGAGCTCCTTACAAAATGAAGAAACCAGAGTTCCCTTCCCAGAAGGTGCCCAGGCTCTGTGCTTTGGGCTGAAGTAGCTGTGAAATGAAGATAGTGTTCTTAAATAAAAGGAGCTTGTGTATAAAAGACACTAACTAGGAATGAGATAGTGATGTTCCTAATTGAAATTTCTATAGATTGCCACTGAGAATTAATGCACTTTTTTGGAGGTGTTTTGAGATCTGTCATTTTAAAGTGACTCTTGAGGTGTCACCTCATAGCTAGCAGGACTTTCTTGGATGCTGTCAGAATAAGCTTTAAGTATTTTTTTTAATGATATACAAGTGATAGTTTTAATTAGGGCTGCTCTTTAGGGCTCTGCACTGGGTTATATTTAATAAGTAGTCATTTCTAGAAGGAACAGTGGTAGCTGACCGCTTTCTTTTTTCCCTCTTTTTTTTCCAGGTGGGAGAATTGTGTCCTCAAAACCTTTTGCACCTCTGAATTTTAGAATTAACAGTCGAAACTTGAGTGGTACGATTGCCCTTTTTCTTGTTTGTTACAATGATGGTGTATTCATTATCTGAACATGTCTGTAGAGGATTTTGTTGCTCTTTAAAGAGTTGTGTAAGTAGAAAAATGCTGTTATATTTGTACAGCACACATGCCAATGTGACATGTATTTAAATTAAAAAAAAAACCAAAAAAAGCCCCCAGCACTGGAACAAACACGTATTTTTTTTGTGAGGTTCATCCTGCTGCAATTCAATATCTGTTAAAGTCCATGTTTCCCTGGCTAGGCATCTTTTATAGTTTAAAAGAAATAAAGTGTTTCAAGGTGTGATTCATTTTGTTGTTAACTACAAAGAGCTGCAGTGACCAACTTGCACACAGGTTATACGGTGAAGCTTAAATTTGGACAGGTAAATTCAGCCAGCTGTGATTTGTAAGGCTCAGAAGCTGAAATGTTCAACTTTGAATGCCTTGCCTTGCGTCCCATAAATTGATCAAACTGACCTATCCCAGGAACGCCCAGTTGCTGTTTTATTGCCAACAAAGTTTTCTGGTTTTCTTCTCTGAACGTAGAGATGATATTTGCCAATGTTGTGCTTTCCAAGTATGTGAACTGCAGTTTAATGAGATTTTAAGGTTACTAATACCCCGTGTTGCTGGTTTTGCTTCTGACCTTCTGTCAGTTTTTATTGTTGAAATTTTGCAAGCAAAAGAACGGTCCAAGCTGGGTTTTACACATACTTACTGTGTCCAGTGCAGAACACTCCCTAAAGTTAGAAACCACCTTATTCCCTTCCTTGTGCAAACACACTGAATAACATACTGAGTTACAAACCTCAGGCTGGATTTTCCATTTTTTGGCCTGACACTCGTTGTAAAATACTTTTCAAGAATAGTAATTTGAAGACTATCGTTAAGGCATGTCACTGAAATTGTGCCTTTGTGAGTTATTTTTACTAAGATTGAGTTGTTGTGAATATCCTGTGCATTGGACACCCAAAACTGCTCTTTTCCTTCCTGGTTCATATTCTTTTCTGTAGCATCTGATTGTTTAGAACCTTATTAACCATTAAGCCCTGGCTTGCCAATCCTTTGTGGATATGTACTTGAAAATAAAAGGAAAAAGAGGTGGAATGGCACTCATGGAAATCCTGAAGCCTCCAAAGAGCTGAGATCAGCCTGTCAGTTTGCTAATAAGACAAAAAGCACCTGAGTAAAGCCTGGTACCTCTGTTACAGCTTGCTAGAACTAGATGAAATATAAAAAGGCACTTCTGAGGTTTCAGTTAGGAGACCTGCCTACATAAATGCATTTTTTTTGGCCTCTCAAGCCTTTTCTTTCCTGGCTTCTGACCATTTCATTATCTCTCTTTGCTAGGTTTGGGAGAGTGCATTTACTAAACACGTGGTGGGGAGGCGAAGGGGGCAATGTGTACTATTTTTTTCCGTAATAAAAGCCTCAGTTATGAGTATCAGTTGAGCCAGTTCTTCATCCTATTTCACCCCAGTGTGGATTCACTGGGAATACTTTTCTAGAATGCTGAAGCTTTATATATCAGTTGTTATTTAATGTGAATGTTGATGTTAAAATTATATAGAGATAGCTAATTAAGACTTGGGTGAATGAGATCGCTTAGCATAAGAGCAGATAATAGCTTCCACTAATAGGAAACTCTTTCAGGGATTCAGATAAGACCTTTGAAATTACCTTTGCATGCTAGAAACAGTGAGGGAAAATGGTGAAAATCAGTGTTAGGTCTTAATCCCATTCTGTGACCCTCCTGTATTCAGGAAACACCACTGTCAAGTGAACACGCATGGGATGTGCTGGGCCTGGGACGTGTTCCAGTCTTAATGGCCCTCTCTAAGTGACACTTGCAGGGAAATGTCATCCCTTAGAGCTTGTGGCATGAAATGTGGCCGATGTCCTCCATGTGCAGAGAAGGTGATTTAATTCTGCTGTGCTGGCTTTATGCTGCTGCCCTACAAGGTTTTTCATGATACTTGTATTCAGCGGGCTATTTTTTGTGCCTGGGTGTGATCTGAGTCATGTGGCTTGCCTGTCTGTCTATGTTTCGATCTAAAGTATGAACAGTTAAATAATTTAAAAAACACACTGGACAAGATAAAGCTTTAAGAAGCAGGCAACCTTTTTTCTTAATCCCATTTTTGTCCTTAATAGTGCCATCTGGAAAAAGAAATGGAAATGCGGCAAGAGTTGGGACAAACCAAAACAAGTATTAAAAATGTGGTTAAAACAGTGGTTGAAGTTGCTGAGTCCTAAAGCTTGCTCTTTGACTCTTCTGGGTAGTTTTCTGCTGAATTAGAAGTGTACCATCGTTTCTTCTGCAGTTATGCTGCTCACTCAGTTGTTCAGTGGTTCTGGAAATGCTTAGACACATCCCATACCTATTAATTCTAGGGAACAAAAAAAATTATGGGCAAGAAAGCAAATATAAAACATGTTTGTCTTCAGTCCAAATATAGTGCAGTTACAGTTTACATGGGTTGAATCTAATGATGTTCTGTTGCTGGTCCTACCTAATTAAATCCTGCCTGTTACTGCAGATGTGTTGTTGCTGGCTTCCTTGTTAAAGTTGTCTTGTAGACATAGGAGAGTTTCATTTATTAAAAGCTTGCACTAGCATATAATTTTTACTCCAGAATAGCTGACTATCTCTGAAGAAATGAAAGGTAGATTTTCAAAGTATCTTAGATTTTCTGTAGGCTTAACCCAGCAAGAGAATACGAAATTGCTTTTTAAACTTGCTGCAGTGTTTTCTTCTGGGACACTGCTATTTGAGGGCAAAGCTCACGTTTTTTGCTTTGAATATGCCATTACTGTTGCATGGCCAGTTTCAGCTGGATAGAACAGAGTGGTTTTCCCTAACTTGACTTTCCTCCTTTAGATATTGGCACTATAATGAGAGTTGTGGAGCTATCACCACTGAAAGGGTCTGTGTCATGGACCGGGAAACCAGTTTCTTACTACCTGCATACTATTGACCGAACCATAGTGAGTATAAACACGGGCAATAAATCTCTGGCTCTTTTACCATCTCTAGAATCAACATGCCAACCTCAGATTTTTGTTCCTAGGAGCAGTTTTCGTATTCCTCTGTGTATTTACAGCCGTGTAGCACACCTAACTGGAAAGGGTGCACTTCACCAGTTACCTGCTCAGTCCAGCTCAATGTGCACATCTCGCCGTGTGGCTTCAGCGCGGCGTGTTACACAAACACTGTCATTATGGACAGTGCTATAGTAGGCTGTTATTTTGTTGAAGGTGCATAGATCTACACGTATAACTCCTTCTCATGCTCCAGAATACACAACTGTGCAAAATGGTGGTCTTGTGCTAAAGCTTCCACACTGAGTACAGTCTCTGTGGGTCTGTAATTCTTCAGTTTGCTTTGTGGTGTACAGACCATTTCATTCCATCATATTCAAGCAGTAAATCTCAATTTTAGTTGAACTTCCAGCTGCTGTAGCCAGCCAAAGCTCCAAAACAATGCTGATGCATTCACTGTTTGTTTGTTTCTTTTAGTGAAAGAAAACAGAAACAGCCCTGTAGAAATGTAAACTTGTGTGCAGAAATAGTTTATTCCCACATTGAGTTTTTTGCAGTATGGTAGTAGGACTATTTTTCTAAGTCTGCTGTAGTCTAATAATGCTTTTGTTAAAGAATATGCTAGACTGTAGATAAATATTTCAGTGGAGTACAAGAAGTGAAGTAGCTGAAAATAACCTTCTGCTGGGTGGAGATACATGACACAGTGCTTTAAAACAAGGACAGGCAGTGGTGAAGATGATAAAACCTTGCTGAGGCTTGGATTATGTCCGGCTACATGACGTGTCTGTGTCGCTTAAACGGATACACGACGTGTCTGTGTCGCTAAAAAGAAGGAACGTAAATGGCTGCTTGATGTAGCTTATCAGAAGAAAACCAGTCAGGATTTCTGCAGTTCAGCATTTGTCTTAATCTAAAATTTTGTTCTTAATGTATTCATCTGTTATGACTTTGAAAATAACTATCTTATCTTTCTATTTGCAGCTTGAAAACTATTTTTCTAGTCTCAAAAATCCAAAACTCAGGGTAAGTTTCAGTCATTTTCTGTAGAAAACTCACAATAATGGAGCAGCTACTATGAGGATTTTAGTCAGTTGTTGAAGATGTACAGAACTGATAGAAAATCAAATTTTCTTGATAAGCAAGGAACATGGATGTGGAGCTAATTGAAATGGAGCATCATATGCCATCAAGCACTAATACAATCATGTTCAAGAGCTTTCTAATAGAGAATTAATGGGGCAGCCGCAAGGTGCTTTTCCCTTGCGTTGCAGGTTTATAAAGAGCTATTCGTCCATTAAAGAATTGGCATTAAAAGAGGAAGTGAGAGTTCGAATCTGTCCCGGTGTTCAGTCATGAAAATGAAGCTGAAGAGCACTCTGAAGTGTTACTTTTGGGACGTGCTTTTTGAGACGTGAAGTGCGTTGTCAGTGCTGTCACACGTGGAATTAGGCTTCAGGTGGTTTGCTTCCCAAGTGTTGCAAACAGACTAATGGTAGCTTTGAGACTGGGTTATTTCAGACGGCTGAATTCAGACTTGGGAGGAAAGAAAGACTTCTCAGTCAAAAGCAAAAATGCAGGGTGTCAGCCATGTACTTAGAACTTCTCTGCCTTTAATGGTGAAGCTATTTAAATCTGCCATTTGTCGGGCCTAGCTGATAACTTGCTTTAATTGAAGAGGTGTTGGTCTTGCCAGAATTCTTATGCAAATTCATCCTTACCTGGAAGGTACAAGAAAAGCTTTGGGATTTTTGAAATTTCCTGTCCTTACTGCTGAGTAGAAAATCAAGCTTTAAAGTTCTTTTTTTTCTTTTCAGTCTCCTCTACAGACTTGTCTAAAGTTGTTTTAGATGATGATTAATGGCTTTGCCATTCCAAGTCATGTAAGATTTTTAACGTGAGGTAGCAACAAGTGAAAAGTTGGGAGTTTGGGTAAAGCTGTTGAAACATTTAATAATAAAAAAACCCCAAAACCTGTAGCACCAGTGTGCGTTCTGAAGGATAGAATTAGGAAGGGCAGAATAAGGAAAGAGGTTGGAGCTTTATCTCCTCTGCCCTGTGGCTGCACATTTAAACCCATTATAGTAGGTAATGCAGTCCAAAAAGGGGACTTGCACTTATCTTCCTTTTCCCACTGAGTGTTGCCTAAGGCAAGGCAAGTTTTTTCCCTTGCTGGTTAACAACAGGGATTTTTTTTAATTAGGGATTGTATGATAAAAGCACTTACACCAGCTCTTGTAGACTAAGCTGAAAAACACAGTGATTTGTATTAAAAGTGCTTAATATATGAAAAAATTATTAAGTCTTTTAAAATGTTTGTCCAGGAGGAACAAGAGGCAGCTAGACGTCGTCAACAAAGAGAAAATAAGAGCAACACAACTACTCCAACGAAGGTTCAAGAAAACAAGGTGAACATCCTGTATTTTTGTAGAGTAAATGTGTTTTTAGCCGTGCATGAACTCATAATCTATGTCAGGAAAAGCCTGGTTCTGTGGGAAGACTGTTCAAACATGTGAGCTGGAACAGGTGTTGTTGTGGACAAAAATACGATGGAGTGACTTAATAAAAGCTGCCCTTGGGAATCGCACCACTAATTCTGGAAAAAAGGCATTGCAAGAGGAGCAGAATAGTTGGTTGTCCACCCTCGCTTACTTTCAGCACCAGCCAGCAGAGATTTCCCTGACTCGCAACCCACTGAATGGAGCTCAACGATGAGTCTGCTTTGCAAAGACTCATTTCCTTTGTCATTCAGTTGCATAATACTGTTAGAAATGCAGTGACTGAAAAGTATTGTATGTACTTTGACTTTTTAATGAAACTCAGTTGAAGAATCTAGTCAAAACAGGGTGAGTAATCAGCTTTTAGACAACAGTTACAGATTTCCTTTTCTTTAATGAGTAAGTCCAGAAGAGAATTAGCACAGCCTTTTGGGTGCTGGGGACAGCTCTTATCCCAAGCAAATCTATTTCACTGGCAAGTTATTTAACTACAGTGCATGAGTTTCCTTTCATAAAATTATTAAAGTTATTAATGCTTGCTTAAAAGGAATGCTGCGTATGTGGGTAGAAATGACTAAAGAATTTTCGGCTTTTAAAAATCTCGTAGGATTCTGGTGCTGAAGAAGAAAAGGCTGGGACAAATTCTGTTAAAAAGCCATCTCCCTCCAAAGCACGGAAGAAAAAGCTAAGTAAAAAAGGAAGGAAAATGGCAGGCAGGAAACGAGGTCGTCCCAAGAAAATGAACACTGCAAATACAGAGCGAAAGACCAAGAAGAACCAAACTGCCCTAGAACTTCTGCATGCTCAAACTGTTTCACAGACATCTTCATCCTCTCCTCAGGGTGAGTTCAAGGCTGGCAGTGGAAGAAGCCTCCCCCTGCCACATAAGTGTAGATCTGAGGCTCTGAGTACATGCTTGGAGGTCATTCTCCCTTCATTGCTAGGTTTAGTTTGGTTTTGTGTCATAACTTCTCCCTTGCCACCACAGCAAAGCTTCCCTTTGAGGTGGTGGTGTGCCTCTGTGAGACGATGGTGATTGAACCTGTCTGTAGGTACTTGGCCAGAAGCTGGAGCTGAGCCATGGCTGACAGCTTGTCTGTGCTGCTGTAGAGTCATAGAAGGGTTTGGGTTGGAAGGGACCTTAAAGATTATCTAGTCCAACCCCCTCCCATGGGCCGGGACATCTCCCACTGGACCAGGCTGCTCAGATCCTGCCCAGACCCTTGAATAAGCTTGCTTGGACCACTTGGTTACTCTTCTGAGAGATACTGCCAGAGAACTCTGCACAGCGAAGGGACATCATGAATCGTCTGTGAGATACAGTGAAAACATCCTTTATCTAAGGATAAATTGTATATGTCCAAACGCAGTGTGTTGAACTAGCTAAGTTATTGGATCTCACATTGTAAATGACCTGTGTTACTGTACTTGACAGAAATACTTTCATAATCTGAAAGGTTATCTTTGCTTCTCTCTTTAGATGCGTACAAGTCACCTCATAGTCCATATTACCAACTACCTCCTAAAGTGCAACGGCATTCATCTAACCAGCTACTGGTGACACCTACCCCACCCGCACTACAGAAGCTGCTAGGTAAGGCTGTCATGTTGTCACTGTTTGTCATGGGAAACTCTGCTTTGAGGTTTCTGAATGTAAAGTGAGTCAAAGGGCTACTGATAGCCACTCTGGAATGCTGTGTGTTGAGCAAGAGAGAGGAATAGCTTCTTCTCCATCTTCCTTTACCTGCCCCACTTCTGTTGGCATCACTTTGAGGTCTCTTCTCTTGCTTGTTGCTAAAGTTGATGTCTTGGTCTGCATTTGGTTTTTTGACATTGTTTAAGCTCTCATTTGCACAAAAAGCAGTAAGCTTGGGTCTAGCAGGAATCTGAAATAACTTTAAATAGAAATGGCTAGTCAGAAATAACTTTATTTTAAATGAAACCATTCTCTTATTCTTAAATGATACAGTCTTGGAGAATACCACTCTATTTTGTCTGCAAAACTTAAAGTAAACGAGATGCTGTCTGAGTTTTTGACGTCACAAAGGTGGTGTGGTTGCATGATATGCTCTACATGCTAGGGGTGATTCAAGGAAAAACTTGGAAGGTGTTTTTTGGGTCTTGTGATACCTTCTCCCCAACTGTTTCTTACCTTCTCCTTAAGAAGCTGTCTGGGCATGGCTTGAATGGAGACACGCTTTGCTGGGTTAAAA